ACTTGAAAATTCTGATTCTGCACATGCCTAGCAGTACCTCCGTTTCAGCCGATCTAAACAGCCTCTAAATAGTCAAGCATAGAACGAATTGGGATATAGAAACTAAGTCTCTTGAGGCTCTTTATCTGGTAGGGAAGGAAGCAGGGCATATTGGCAATCAGCATTGTCATTTTGGCTTATTAGTAGAAAAATCTGTTGTGCATTGAAAATCATAAATTGTAATTGTATCCCACAGTGCTGTTATGACATCAGAGGGCCCTGTTACACCTTACACATTCATAAATGAACTTAATTCAACCTAAATGTAAATTACAAGGTTCTGTGGGGTATGACCTTCTTTTAATGGTAGCAAATACAGGGTCCTGGTTAAATGGGTTTTAATGTAGGATTAAGTTGCTCAAGTTGAAATTACCAGAACGAATTTCTTTATATTTTTAACTCAATCATAGATTACACAAATATAGGAAAGCAGAAGCACACCATCATTTATCTTAAAATTCAAGTTATGAGAGTGGAACTGTGCCAGTATAACTTTATTAAACCATCAGTAATTGGTATCTTGAGACAATTGTTCTTTTTTAATTGAATCATGGCACATGTCCTGCCCATTCATGCATTTGTAGTCTGTAGATGCTGCTGATTTGGTTAGACATGCTTTTGGGGTATATAGACCAGCCAAGTACTTAAAGAAAACTTTCTTTGGCCAATGTAAGTGGTATATGTTCGTCAATCTAAAATACCAAATAAGAGATCCACAAAATGCCATCCAGGATGACACCGTTTGGAAAGTGTGATAATATGTCTCAAATGCACAAATTAGTTAATTAAATTTTCCCCTATGACGACAACAACAACAACACTGTATGGGTAAGTGGCAAATTTGAATTCAAACTGTAACCTTGCGGTATAAAACTGTTGCAAAACCCCAGGCTTTTTCTTTTTTTTTAAATTTAAAAATACATTCCCTCCCCTTCCTCAACCATTTCTAACTCTTTCTCTCTGTCCTCTTTATCTCTTATAAGTAGTCATAGGTAATCTAAATTCTTGTATTCAACTATTGTAATAAGCCCCTTTTTATACTGTAAATGGTGTTCTGTGTTTGTATTGACTGTTTTATATTGTATTCCTATCGTTTTTTGCATTCATTTTTTTTTTATTGTTTTATATTTAGTGTATATGATTTAGGCCTGTGTCTGTAAAGTAATGTCAAGTTTCCATTTTGTATGTCAAGCCTCCATCTTGTATCCCCTGCCTGGGGTATAGCCTATTGTATAGTATGCTGTAACTGTGACTTGTGTTTAACCAGTCTCATGTAAATTGGTTCCTGAATGAATGAGGGTGTTTGAGGCATAATGGTAGCAGGCCTCTACTGAATGATCAGTAATGACTGGACCATCAACTCAACAACCTGACCATTGCCTTGCATTGACTCACCCAGGAACCACAGACCTCACCCAGGAACAGAGACAAAATCCAGCATTTGAAAGATAAAGAACCTACAGGAACCCAACATTTGGAAGACAAAGAGCCTACAAAAACCAGCAACCCCACCATTGTGGGCCACCAGACAGTGAGGACACCTGGATCTGCATGTATGCATCTGAGCAAGACTGGCCTTGCCTGGGCATGCCCTTCCCATAGGAAACACAGGTAGCCCATCCCTATAAAAGGGGTGGTGGAGTGTGAGCTCTTTGGGATGCCCTCTCCATCTGGACCAGCACTATGCCACATCATCTATCTACCCAGAGGCCCTGCTGGTGACCCCCTCTGGAGAACACCTTGCTGGAGAAGACCCCAACTGGCCATTAAGGATCAACTCGCAGCCCAGGATAGGTAGCTATCGTCTACCTTCCTTCCCCAAGCAAAGGACCTGGACTCTGTCCCCACACACCTTGACTCCAATCCTTCCACCAAGCCTTTCCTCTTCTGCTACCGTTGTGTGAGAACTAATAATTTTGTGGGGCTGTATAGTGTGCTGCCTGATTAATAAAACTGTTAGTTTGAAACCCGAGTTGGATTTTTTTCTTATTGGCCTCCTGGCCCTCCTCCTTGATTCCCCGACTTTCTCCCTCGGTTCTTTCGGTCTCATTTCTAGCCCTGATCTCCCAGCTTTCTGCCTCTTTTCTGGCTGTCTCCTCCTTGCTGCTGGGCTTTTTCCCTCGTTTCCACCCCAGCACCAGGTAACACAGAGTAACTCCAGGGCCTCAATTAACCTCAAGTAATCCCAAGCCCCAGTAACCCTGGGGCACATTAACCTCAAGTGAGCCTGAGTGACTCTGGGGCACCTTGACCTCAAGTAACCCTGAACACCAAGTTATTCCAAATGCCCCCTAGTGTTCACACACAGCTACAGAAGTGCATGTTTGTGTATGTATATGAGAACTCATTGTGGTGTGTGTGTGTGTGTGTGTGTGTGTAATTTTGTATCATGCCCTCCTGTCTAACAGCACAATATTGAGATCGTGAGTGATCTGGTGGTGTCAAGTCAAGAAAACAAGTGGAAGGCAGGGTAGATTTTCACCTTATAAACTAACCAAAGTAGATATATATAGTACAAACTTTTGTGGACTGAAGCTCACTTCATCAGATACTGTGAAAGGATGTGCATAGAACAGTGTATAAGAAGACAGAAATTTGCTACAAAAGCCAGAAGGAAGGGGGAGGAGGGAGACAAGGTAGTGTTAGGAGGCCTCTGTCTTTCTGCAGTGGATGGCAAATCACTGTTTGTTCTTTTATGTAGGGATCACGCAATCTGGCCAATGTAGACAGCAAAGGAGTACTATGAGCAGACGCAACCCTCGCCCCAGCCCACAGTGGCAGCTGGCCCGGCTGGCATGTAGATCTGGGGGCACATGCCCCCCATGCCTTCCTGGGGTGTGTGCCCCCCCCCCCGTGTCCTTCCCCCTCCAGATGAAGTGCTTGCAGCTCTGTCCTGCACCCCAGCTGTGCAGGGCTTGCCTCTGCTCCAGCCCCACTCCCTCACCGTTGTTGGGTGGAGGCAGATTGAGGCCCCACTGTTGAGGGAAGAAGTGGGGCTAGGGCTGGGTCCTTGATCTGCCCCACCTCTCCCATGGCCCTTTCCCCTTCCTCTTCCCCCACAGACTTACCTGCTGGGGGGGGTGTACCCCCAAATAATTTTTTCTTCCCCTGCCTTGATCTGCTCTCCCCTTTCTTCCCTACAGACTTACCTGCTGGGTGGGTGGTGGGGAGGGGTGGTGGCACAAGATAGATCTTGGGTAGCTTTAAATGCCAAAGGTGATCTCCTACTTTAAAAAGGTTGGAGACCACTGGTCTAAGAAGTATTTCAGAGTTGGCTTGATGGAAGTCGTTAGAGTCCTGGTGAACTTTCTCCAAAGATTCCTTCTCATCTTTCCATACCAGGAAGATGTCATCTATGTACCCATAGGTAGATCAGAGGGATGAGAGAACAGCTATGGAGGAAACAGACTTCAAGGACTATTGTAAATACGTTGGCATATTGTGGGGGCATATGTGTGCATGTGGCATTACAATTAATTTTTAGGTATAGGGTAGGGGTTCTCAAATTTTGTGATACCGTGACCCCATAAAATAATGTATAAATTGGTGTGACCCTCCCCTGCCCCCCCCCCCAATGATTAAAGCTATTGATTTAATTTGGATTAGGTAGGAGATAAATTAAACACATTTACTTTTGTATATTAAATTAAATATATTTGTCAAAAACACTTTATAATAAGTTCAAAACTGTCTCACTGGAGAAAAAAACTGTCAAATTTAAAACTGTCAATAATTTTCAATGAGAAGGATGAGCTTGCTTGGTACTGCTTAGTTTTTTTCAAATCTGGGCTTTATTTTTGAGACTGGCAGTCCCATTTCACGCTCCACATTTATTTTTGATGGGTATTTGCTCTTTTTAGTGGCAACTGCTGGGGGAAAAAAAAACTGCTGAAAAAACTCACACTCAATCACACACAGTCAATGTAACTGTTGACAGATAAATACTGAGCTTCACTAACCCGTACACACCAAGATTAGAAAACAAAAGAGACTTCCGATGTGGGCAAGTCCAAGAACACGTGTGTCGCCGCTGGGGGACGGAAGCAGGCAGAGCATTTGTGTGTTGGGGAGGGAAGAGAATTTTGGGAACCCCTTTTAAGTAGTTTGTGACCCCCCGCCCCCGGGGGTCATGACCCACAGTTTGAGAACCCCTGGTAGAGGAAGTTCCCAAACCTGAAATATTTGTGTGTGAGGACAAAGCATGAGTGTATAATAGAAATAGAAGCAATTTTATTATTGGGGATTATTTTCTTTATGACTTGTAATCCGTCTTCAAGGGGGAAGTTGGTAGTTGGAAGCTTGTCAGAGGAGCCCAGTTTCTTTAAGAAATCTGTGGTGTCTTTCAAGTAGCTGGCACTTCCAGTAGCATATGGCAATAGGACACAATCACCATGGCCAGAAATGTCTTTCATGATGGTGCCAGTTACCAGCAGATTTGTGGATCGTGGGTAATAAGTAGAAGTTGCCCAACTTGGGCTCCTGGGAGTTGGAAGCATTGATCCTCTCCTATATTTTCTAAAGTAAATCCTGTAAGAGTTTATCCACTTCCTCATGGTATTGTGCTGTGGGGTTCTTTGTCAGAAGTTTGTAAAACTCCCTGTTGGAATGTTGGAAATAAGGCAAGTTCAAAGATAGATATTATGGAATAATCAACTTAAATGTCTTTAAAATATGATAAGTATCTATTTTTTCTAATTTCTAAGGTATAATCAACTTTTGTATGGGTAGAGCTTTTGTACTATTCACTTTCATCATTGCTACTGGGTGTAGTAGCTAAGTCTTTCACAGATTAGCTAATGTATACCCTATAGGCACTATAATGACACTTTTTTTTTTTTTTTAAAGGCAGGAGTATAGCATCCTCTAATAATCCTATTTAGAATATCCTATTTACATAAAATGTTCGAAAATTTAGGAGGAGTTAGAATTCTAAATGCTTTTTTCTTCAAATCCCTTTTCAGGTTGTTCCACTATTCGTTGTCTTTATTCTTCTGGAGCTTGTTGTCAGCAGTATTCAGAGGCACAAGCTGTCATATCGGATCAATGATGCTATAAGCTCTCTCTCTGCGGGTATCCTGTCTCAACTTCCTGAGTAAGTATGACTATTGTATTGGCTTTACCATGAGAAGAGGAATATTATTTTATAATTTAAATACAAATATTTTATAATTCTTCAATTTTAAATGATTATGGGAAACCTAAGAGAATTTGTTAAGACATCTAGGGAGCTTTGTCAAAAACTGATTTTTACCTGATATATATAAATTTATTTTTGAAATATAAACCTAAATTTAAGATTAAAAGGACTCTAACCAACTCCAAGTCCATTGTCAAATCTATTGACAATTTTGAATGTGATTTAGTTAACCTCCTGCTATAAGAGGATAGCAACTTTCCAGAATAAAATCCTGTTCCAGTCTTAATAGCTGTGGTTGAACTAAAATGTGGGGTGTTTTTTAGTCCAAATTTTAATCCTGATTTTAAAAATTGCCAGTGATGGAGAATCTAGCAATGGTTCTGCTACACATCTCAGAACTGCATTAGCAATTTTAGCCAGTGTCACACAAGGAACTCATGTTCAGCTAGAATCTACCATGATCCACATCTTTTTCAGAGTCACCGCTTCCCAGGTTGAAGCCTTTCTCTCATTCTGCAAATGGGGCATGTATTTTTTTTTTTTTGTTCTTTTATATATGACCTTACATTTGGTTACATTGAAGCACAAAGACCAAGCAATTCATATTGCTCTGTATCAGTAACTTATTCAGTTAATTATTGACCATTCCCTTATTTCTGATGAAATTGGCAATTGTAATTTCATGCCTTCTTCTAGATCATTAATAAAAATGTTAAATAGCACAGGGCCAAAAACCAGTCGCTACAGGACTTCACTAATAGTATATCCATGAAATGAGGGTTTCCTGTTTACAATTATATCCAGAAAACTACATACAAAGCTAGTTTTTAATGCATTCAATGATAAAAATGTTGAAATTGATCATTTAAATTTTTTAATCAAGACTTCATGTGGTACTAATACAATGCCTTATGGACATCACTTATTCCACCAACACAAATTGTCTTTATCAATCCCTTTGCAATCTTATAAAAAATCAAGGTCGTTTGACAAGATTTATGCTATGGCTTTGGATCAGACCACGAGAAGGCATGATCCATGCATGGTGGAGTACCTTGATGCAGTAAAAGCTCTATTATCTGGCATCCCCTGGAAATGGGGGATGCCGGATAACAAAATATGCCGGTTAATTGAGTGGCCCGAACAGGCGTCCTTGCCTATTTGGGCCGCCACTTCTTCCCCTGCGAGCGGGGCATCGTTGCCCCTCCCGCAGCATTGGTGCCCCTCCTGTGACATCGCCAACTCTCCCCTGGGCCCTGCGGGACAGGGAGGCGGGCCCCTTGCAGCCTGTTATGTCCCCGGGCCATAGGAGCTCAGAGAAACCAGAAGTGCCATGGTGGGCACTTCCTGTTTCACTTCACCTTACAAGCCAGCATGCTGGTTAATAGCGTGTGTCGGCTTGTAAGCTGTCGGTTAGCAGAGCTTTTACTGTATTTAGAAGAAATAACCATGGAAGTTACCTTCTAAAGGATTAACCAGATACATGGAAAATACTAGCTAGCCATTTCCCACATACATGTAAGTAAGAGACTAGGCAGACAAGGTTCCTTGGGTGAATTTGATATCTTTTATTAGACCAACCCAAATAGTTGGAGAATAGTTATTAAGCAAGCTTTCGGGTTCAAAAACCCTTCGTCAGGCTAAGGAAGTTTCAGCAGTTGGTGTGTGCTCTTCCGGGATGGAATGAAAAGTAAAGAAGCCAGAGGCTGGGCTGGGGAGTCAGTTGCCAGGCCGATTGTAATGTATCAAAAATGTAATGTCTATGTTTAGTCCATGATCTCTAGTATCCAGGAGGTTGATGAAATGGAGCTCGTAGGTTCGTCTTTGGGAAGAGTTGTGTAAGTTTCCCTTGAGGATCAGGACTGAGAGATTGGAGAGAGAGTGGCCCTCCTGTGAGAAATGTGCCCCCACCGGTACTTGGGTATTCCTGTCTTTGATAGATTTCCGGTGTGCGTTCATTCTGGTGCGCAGTTGTTGTTTGGTCTCTCCTATGTATTTTCCATCAGGGCATTTGGTGCATTGGATGAGATGCATTACATTTCTGGAGGTGCAGCTATAAGATCCAGGAATGCTGATGGCTCTGTTGTGGGGTGTAGTGATTGTGGGGGTGGTGGAGATGTGTTGGCAGGTTTTGCATT